AGGCCCACGAGGCCGCCCCGCCCTCCCCTTCGCACAGGTTGCCCGCCTGGGGAGGGCTCCCTCCCTCCCTCCCCCCCAGCCCCACCTCCGCTGCCGGGCGGCCTGCCCTGGGCCGCCCTCCCCGCCCTGCTGCGGCTTCGGGGGAGCTTCCACTCACGGGCCAGGCGGGGCTTTCCCGGCCACCGGGCCAGTCGCCTGGGACCCTCCGCTGTCTTCAGCCTTCTCTCCACGAGCCCCCCTCCCGCTTCAGCCTCCGCTCCCTGAGCCGCCAGCCTGCCGCTCCTCCGCGGTGCGTGGTTGGCGCCGCCGGGGCCCCTGAGCTCCCAAGGACAGCGGGAGACTTTCGGACCGCTTCCTCTCGGTTCCTGCCTGCCTGGGCCCGCTTTCCCGGGGAACTCGTGGCCGGCTCATTCCAGCCCAGAGCCCACGGGCGGGGCGGGAGCGCCGAGGCCGTCAGCCCGTGGGACGCGCCTTGCTAAGGGGGAAGCGGCCGGGGCAGGCTAGGAGAGCCGGGGCCGGCCCGATCCAGGGGGAGCCACCGGCGCTTCCCCGCCTGGGAGGCCGTGCTGGGCGCAGCTGCTTCTCCAGGCCGAAGGCGGCGAGAGGGCTGAGCCGGCCCGGCTTCGAAGGCTTCTTCCCTCGCTGTGCTCTCCTGGCACCGCCGGCAGCTTTCGAGAAGCCGGTTAAGGGCTGGTTCGCTCCGAGGGAAGGAGGGAGGGAGGTCGGCTCCCTCCGGGAACCAGCGCGGGCTTTAAGAACCCCTTTCCCGCTTTCACTGCCTCTCGGCCCTTCTTCTCCAGCCGAGTCCAAGCTCCGCCCTGAGCCCGGCCCAGCCAGGCTGCTGCCCCGCTCGTCCTCTCCGTCCAGACCCCACCGAAGGGACTCCCACCCCAAGGGGCAAGAAGACGCCCAGCAGGGAGCGCCGTTCCCCGAGTTCAGCCACGCAGAGCTTCAGCCGGAGCCAACCTGGCAGGCAGCTGATGGTCCAGAACCAACCAGGAGCGACCCCCCCCCTCTAACGCCCCCCCCCCGGAGCCCTGCTCTCTGCCCGGCGGGGCTTCTCCATCTGCGGGAAAGAGGCTCGCTTCGACGACGTTTCGACCTGGGCTCAGACAACACCAGAGCTGCGCTGGCTGGCCTGACCCCCGCTTAGCAAAGGCCACACTTGAAGAGAATGCCAGTGCGGCACAGGCTGAGCCGAGACCCCCCTCCCGCCCGCCCACCCGTTTTAGGCCCCGTGAGGTGGAGCCGCCTAAGACGCTGGAGCAGTCCGGACGGTGGACAGGCATCTCAATAAGTAAGGGGGAGGGCTGCCACCAGGGTCACTCCTCTGACCTGGGGAGGCACCCCCCCCCACCTGCAAAAGTGGCCTGGAGGGGCCCTGTTTCAAGGCGGCTTCTGGTGCCACCTTCACAGAAGGCATGGTGTGTAAGCCTCCAGATGTGGTCTCAATTATGGAGCAGAGGGGGGGGGGTTTCACTTGACTTTGGGGAAGTGGCACCTCATTCTGCATGGGGGGGGGGCAGTTGCTGGCTCTTCAGCTGCCCAGACTGCTAGCTTGCCAGGGGAGGGGGCACATCCTGTACCGCCTGGGAGAAGGAAGGTGGGTTTTCTAGGCGGCAGAAGCTCCCCTCTGGGGGGGTCAGAAGGTGCCTGCCTGCACTCCTGCCTCTCTGGGGCTGGCAGGGAGGGCAGGTGGCATTTCCTCCTCATTCAGGGGACCCAGCTGGGCCTGAGGCTGCTTGCAGGAGTCTCCCTTCTAGGGGGCCTTGCCTGGAGGTTGGGAGGCTATGGGTAGTCAGCGGACCACCCGCAGGGCCCCTTTCTTGGGGAGGGGGGGGGGAGGGTCCAGGCAGACCGATCTGGATGCAACAAATCAATGCGTGCCCCACACCCACCGAACACAACAGCAAACGGGTCCCACCTACAGGTGCCAGGCCTGGGCAACGGTTGCTGTGGGAACCAGAACTTGCCTGGGGGATTTCTCCCCCCCCCCCCCCAAAAAGGGGCCCCGGGGGGGGGCCCCCGACTCCCC